AAATAAGTAAATAAAAGAAACATTTTGAGGGTTCTTTCGACACCGTTCTGATGTGCGGTTCTTACCTCTCAGACACAAACAGTTGGACCGAGCTGAAGCTAGCTCAGCTCTCCACGCTTAGGGCGGGGCATTCCATCGTCACCATGGAAACGCCCGATCACCATGGTTACTCCGAGGACTCCTCGGTCTCCGCCGGAAGAACTCTGCTGGTGTTTGGAGGCGGAGACAACGAGGGGACGTTTTTCTCCGACGTGACGAGCGTTTCCGTCGAGGACCTGCTAGCCGCGGCGTAGAGAGCTAGCCTTTTAGCTCCACCCGCTACATCCGGCTCTGTGATTAAAGTCCAGGTATCTGCTGTTGAAGTGTATATTTTGAGTTTACGGGAGAGATTTTTCTTTTTCATGTGTGTTCTCTTATGTATAAACAAAACTGCATTAAGAGTCAAACTACTGCTTATTTTGTAAAAATCGTAATCATTTATTAGGCTTTTAAATGTGCATTGAGAAAATATTTTGAGATATGTTTAAAACTTGTCTTGGGGAAAATTTACTTTATTTTCTTGTCTTTTTATTGTGTTATAAGCCATTCTTTCAGCAATTTCAGGGTTTGTATTTAAACTACTTTATATATTGTTTAGACACTCCACTCTTAGCTTCTGTTTATACTTAATAAATGTTTATCTGTTAAATTTGTTCTTTCTATGCCTTTAATTTTTGTTTTTCATAAATCTTCATTCGGTGGGTCAACTTTGAGAGGCTAATCTAAATCTGCATCACCTGGTTTTCATAGAAAAACGTGATTTTACAACAATATTCTATTCAGCTATCATTTTAGTGTTTAAAAATATTTCATTCCTCCTTTGTTTTTTAGGTAAGGCATTATCTCTTTCCCCAGCTTTCTGTCGCACAGATTTAAAGAGGAGTGGCAAAATAACATTGATTAGCAGTGCACCAGGTGGCTATGTACAAATGCATGCCACACTTTTCAGATTTCTGTTTGACCAACATTTAGAAAGTCACACTTGTTGTTCACCTAATAGTTAGACTGACACAAAGTGGTGCATATCACGGAGAATCCCAGTGAAATACATTAAAGTTTGTGGTTGTAATGTGAAAAATTTCAGATGTTATCCTCTTTTTTAACTTAGGTGATATAAATAATCTTGCCTTTAACAGGTTATAAAAATATGTAAATGTAACCTTAGTTTTTACATCAGATTCCACACTTTTTTTATTTAAATTTGTCACCAACACTGTTCTGTTAATGTCAGTAAAAGTCAAATTAAGATTATCTCTTCCTCACAGACTGCGCATGACATTTCTCACTGATTCCCTCCACACTTTGTTTATTATCAGGTCCTAACAGCTGGATTGTCTATGCTCTGCTGCCTATAAATCACATTTGAAACTGTATTAGAGAGAATTATGATAAATCTCCTTTTGATGATTACCAGTCCGCTGAGTTTACAGAAACTCAAAAAACTGAAAACACTGATAAGATATCAAATACCTGGTCATATGTGTAGCTTGCCAGGTTTGATGGAAAATATTACCAAATACATATGATGTTTAATGGATGGATTATTTGGCAACCTAAACTGACACTGAAAATATACTACATAGATAGATCGATAGAATACGTTGTAATATTCCACCAGCCTGCAGATGGCGATATTTGTCACTTTTTCCTCCTCCACAAACGATTGACATCCACTTTAAAACTGTGCTAACAAATTGTTACTTCTTTATAAAAAGATATACACGGTTTTATGTTATAATACGATTGTTATAGGGTACTTTAATGGCGCACCTATCCTGGAGTATCCTCCCACCACATGTGGAAGGTGATTTTTCCCCTTGATTCATCGGGAAATCCTGCCAGTTGGATTCCCTCCCAGTCATTTTGAACCAGTCTCTCAGAGCCCTTCATTTCCTGGATTCGTCTTTTATTTTCTGCCTGTTACATCCTCTTATTGTGTGACTATTTGCGACTCTGCAGATCTCCCAGCTGACAGATCGTGCATCCTTTTTCGTTTTCTTTTCATGGGGGAGACCACATTATGCGAGGCAACCTACTGTTGTTGCTTAGTAACTTGAAAATATCTGAGGCTCCAGTCTGTATTTCACAATCACACATAGAAACAACAGAGGGTATTTACATTTAGAAATTATTTTTAGAGCAGAGGGCCCATAATTTGACTGAATTGGAGCTAGAAAGTGTCGAAATGCGCAACAGTGAATTAACAACCCCTTTGTCTATTGATTGGAAACAATAATTCAGTAACATAAATAAGTGTAAGTCACTAACATTAATTTACTACAACTTCCCCATGAAGCACAATGACTATTTTCTCAATGCATTTTATCATCTCTTAGTTATAAATTTGTTGCAATTAGTTTACCTTTGTTCCTTTATTATCTGTGAAGTACTTTGAACTTCGGTGTAAAGGAATGACACAACACAGTAAAACATCCTTGCCTTACATGCTTCTTTAAATATTTCATTATGTCAACTGTGTTGAGATTGTTTATTAATTTATTTTGTTTTGTTTGACGGAAACAATTCAGACAACTATTTTACTCAGATTGTATTCAGCAGTTTTTATATATTAGGATTTCTGAGGCTGCAGTTTTTATATTAGCAAAACTACTACAAAAGTAAAATTTCACCAGCATTGAATCATAAGCTGCCAAGATTTGTGAAATATGAAACTTTGTCATAAACCAGAGCAACAGCAATATTAATATACACAATGGAAGTATTTTATAATGGAATAAATATGTTTTGTGTTCATGCTTACAAGCTAGCATTAGCATCACAGTAGATGCTACAGTAGCTAGTAGGAACTTCGAAATGTGTCAATTTAAGCTTCCAAGAACCTTAGCTTTTTGCCATGATCCAACCATTTAGGCAGATAATTATTGTGAGGATTTTCAGTAGTTTCTAATATTGTTGTCACTCAGGAAGTAGTTTCAAAATTAGCAAGTAATAGTCACAGTGAAAAATGTTTATCTATTAATGACGCATAACGTGTGATGCCAGTTTTTGTGAAATATGAAACTCTGCATTCAACTAAAGCTACAGCAGAATGTCAACAGACATGTGAGAAGGTCAAAATGCTTTGCATCATAAAATACAGTAAAACTGTGTACCTCAGTAACTCAGTTCATTAGCGATAGATAGTCCAGTGGAAAAGCTGCAATGCTCCACAAAACATTTTACATCTGTCACATTGGTGCATAATTTGCAAACATAAACATTACCTATGTCTTTTTCTAAATTGGGGAAAACTAAATGTGCAAAAGATGAAAGAAAACAGGGATGAGATATTACAGAAGAACCCTAACTGAATATTTCTACTTTATGAAATACAGTTAGAAATTTGCCAGTACAGTTGTAAAAACAATTACTTTAAGTTTGTTTAATAATCAATTTGCATTAGTTGGAAAGTCAACAGTTACTGTAAAAAGATATATATATGCATATGTCCTTATTAAATAATTTTCTCAGAAAACAAAATAGATATGTTTTGCTAACATAATCAATTATGTCTACACTTCAGATTAAATGGGCTAATTTTAGTAGTATAAAATAGATTCTGACAATGTTAGAGCCCATATCAACCGTATGGTTGTTTTTAATAATTCATGTTTCATAAGCGTACTTCTTGAATCACCATAATAAAGAAGTGTAATGCAGAATAATAAAGACAGCTATAATATTTATGATGTGTAATGCATATATTTTGCAAATCTTGTATTTATTTAAATTGTTACTCACAGTAAGAATGAAGTTAAATTATTTTTTCTTATCTCGAACAGCTTTTAAAAGTCTAATGCACTCCTCTGAGGACATCTGTACCAGCACCTGCTGTTTTCCAACATAAAGGAATTGCGGTCAAACAAATGTGCTGCTAGTGACCGAGCCAGCGTATTCAGCCAAATCTTTATCATGACTTATGGGAGGGAAAAAACATTTTCCCCCTTTTTAATATAAAGCGCACATTTATTTCCAGCATAAGAACTAGTATTTGCTGCACTGCACATATATAATTATTTCTGAACATTACAATATGTTTTTTACATTAAATATGACTTAAAGATTGTCTCCTCAATCATGTAGAGTTTATTTGTATTATAGATTTAAATAAGCTAAATATTACTAATAAGCTTCACGCTTTAGCCATAAAAGTTAATAATGTACCAGATATGGACAATAAAGGTAAAAGAATGATTAAATACAAACAGTAAAATTTATTAAGGAGCATGCTTTGAGAGGTAAATGAGTCCATAGAACTGGAGTAAATACAATGCAAAAGTTCACTTTTATTATTGTCTGTTTTCATCTAGATCTGATCCAAAATCAATCACCAAAACATGAACAAACCACAACCAACTCATGTTTTCATCAGAATCTGATAACTGAAAGATTACGATAAGTTAGTGGGTCTTTGATTTTTTTTTTTAATACAAAAATTGAAATGTAAATAGATACGTTTTTTTTTAAACAGTGAAGGGGCAGAGCAGACTACACTTCTTGAGGAAGCTTAGATGTAAATATTTTCTACTATCATTTGTTGTGGGGTAGTAGCATAAGTAAGTGACCTAAAAGGCTCAACAACATGATTAAGAAGGATAGTTCTGTCCTGGAAAATCTGAAGATGATAGCACATAAAATCAAGAAAATTATCGACAACCCTGAGCATCCTCTTCCCGAGACCATCGTACAAAAACTGTGTCTTCAGTCAGAGGCTTCCTCAGATATGTTGTATTACAGACTGCTACATGATACCATTTCTCCTCATAACCATCAGCATCGATTCCTTGAAGAATATTGGACAGCATGAGTTACAAAAACATTAACTTCCCTTTGGAATCAATAAAGTATTTTTGAATTGAGATGAGGCGTCTGAGTCGGATCCCGGAAAGTAGTCGGAATTCCCATCTCCGGGCGGTCAGTCGCTCAGCAGTGAAAATTCGGAAAAAATCGAGCAAAGCCGAACACATAACTCCCTCCCTCTTAGTCGTGGTGCAAGCAGCCATGTTGCTGTTATTGGCTTGTTCCGGTATCAGGGCAGGATAGACCGCATTCGGGGCGCAGCTCCTCGCCTTTCTACCCCCCCTCCTCCTGCCGCCCGTAACACACACACACACCTCCTAAAGAAGAAAGCCCCACTTTGCCCTATAATGGATTCAACAACTTGATGATTCCTCCTCCTTCAGTCGGCGCACCGACAGGACGAGCTGCTGCTGCTATATCGCCACACTGCAGTGCAGCACTCGGTGAGCGACCTTATTCCAATCACGCAACGCGAGAAAGAGAAATCGCCGGTAATTTGCGTGGATTTGTCAGTTTTTTTTCTTTTCTTTTTTTTTTTGCGGGTCGCCCTTTTGGCAGTCAGCGCCACTGCGGTCTGTCGCTGGGTGATAGAAGCTAACTAGCTAAGCCTTGCCTTGAAAGAGACGTTGAAATAGCGATTTTGGCTAACAGTTAGCCAACGCAACAGACTCTTTTCGGAGTTTCTCACCTGCAATGTCTCTATTTTGCAAAGTTTTACCTTTCCTGTCTCCTTCCAGGGATCTTCTGAGTGGAATATTTTGACTTTGTCCTGTCAGAGTCGGGAATAACTTTTGGCCTGAAAGTTTTTGGACCTCGGACCTGATCTCGAAGCTTAAAAGAAACATCTGTTGGCACAAGAGGATCGCTGAAACGCCGTCGAGGAGTATTGTGGAGTTAGCTTTGGATGAAAACAAAATTTTTCATGAAAAATTAAGTTGCCTTGTCCCCATTTAGCTCAACCGTTGCTCAACTTTTTCCTCCCAAGCTAGCACAACACGCTAGCTGTCCCAGAAACCGTACCCATTCTGCAAACTCCTCTGCTTTCCATTTATAAATGCTTATTTGGACCTGAATGCTGTTAAAGCCAAACAGCAAAGCTGAGGGGGGAAACACAAGCTTTTTTCGCACGGTTGTTGCCCGTTGACAAACATGGGACGCGCAACAGCTACAAGCTAGTCGCTAGCTCGCAGGCTAACTCTCCTAACTAGCCGCTGATGTGGGATTCAACTTGTTGATTCAACGGGGGACATCTGTTGGAAGTTTCCCTCCACCATTAGCTACAAGGGGTTTTAAATGATCAACAGACGCTGATCGATCGGCCTTTCTTAACGGTTTTCTCTCGAAATGTCAACAAGGCCCTCACAGGGGCAAGTCATTGAGATTTCAACAGGACAGGTAAGACGACTCTCCCGAATAGTGTCATAAATGACTGATTTCTCAGTCCGTTTGCTCTGCCTTTGTTGTCGTTTGCCACACAAGAGTGATTCACCAGCGTGCCTACGCAATTATGCTGGATTTCCCACTCCTTGCAGTAGGGCAGAGCAAATTTAGGTATCTGTTTAGTCTGTGTTTCCAGGCAGGTCTTCCTTTTTGACTTTCTGCCACCTCAACCTGGAATTGTCTATGTTGGAACTTAAGACAGTTTAACATGATTGTTAATGTATTTGTCATTGCAAATGACCAGAAACGCATAGCATAGGTATGTTGGCAAAAAGTAGTCAAAGAATCCATTTGAAATGGTGAATAAAATTAGTGTTGTAAGAAATAACATTGGAGTTTGGGGCAATTTATCTCCCAAATGTTTAAGCTAAAACCAAAGCCGTATGACTTAACATTGACTGGAATAACCTTGAATGAACATACGTTATTGATAATAAAATTTCCTTTATTTAAAACAACTTGATAACTTGCGTTATAAGTAGAGGTGACCCGATAAATCAACAAAGATTTCCTTAAATTTGGTTGAGCGATGACGTCTACTGATGCTACATTACCTTTTGCAAAGGTCTATAAATCATCTGCTGTTCCCTTTAGTAACTTTGCTGCTACATTTAGCGACTTTTTCGACAAAAAAAAGGAATTATTGACCAAAATCGAAATCGTCAGGGTTTTTAAAGATCGTTGATCGGGTATACAACTGCAACCGGTGCACCGCGATGTTACCTTCATTAATGCAATGATTGCAACGCTTTTAGTTTCCAACTATGTTTTTACTGAATTTAGATATTACCAAGCTGCAATACTGACCTTTTCTTTCACTTTAAGAAAAACTACAATAAAAATAGTCTTTATTGTCCCACAGTGGAGAAATTTAGGCGTAATAGCGGCACGAAAATATGTTACGTTCACACAGTCGCCATCTTTCTGACCATAAATGTTTGGCAACAACTATATTAGTTTAATAAGCAGATAAATGTTGCTGAGCACTGCCTGTCTTCTGGCTGAAAGGAAGCTACAAAGCGTTTCTTGTCATTCATAGAAGGGCTCATCCATCTGGAAGTATTTGTGGACTAAAAAAACACAAACAGTCATGGTGTGAAAGCTAAAGGAGTGCCGTTCGTCACTCCTACTGAGGCAATGACGTTAGTTACAGCCTGTCTGGATGCTAGCTGGCAAGCGTAGCAGAAAACCTGAATAATGAACCAGCCAATATGACTCTACAAAGAGCAAAAGGACTGAAAGGTGTAATATTCTGCATAATTAGAGCTTTAGAAGTACATGTAGATTTAGTGGATGGTGTTCTTTTTGTGTTTTTCTTCTTATGTACCAAACTAGCAGCAAATAAATAGGTAGCAATAAGAAATGTTAAAAAGATCATGTTTCTTCTGGAGCAGATGTGGTATTCGTTGCCCACATTAGCTTATGTTTTGAATTGTTATCTTTAATCTTTTGTGGTTCCTATGTGGGGCACGTCTTGGTGTGGAAACAATCATTTGAATTTGGTGAAACGTGCGTTCTTGTAGAGGGGAAATAAAGGCCAGAACATTGCCTTTTAGATACACAGAGGCTCTCATTTGCCATTCAAAACGGTAATACGTCGGTGAAGTAGCTTCACACTGAAGAAATCAGTTCGCGTATTGTTTGCACAGGGCTGTGTTGACTCAGGAAAACTAAATATTTCCCAGCAGGAAGTACTTGTTTGTTGTGATGGTGGATCATTAACAATAGGAAGAAGCTTTGTGCAAACACAAACTTCCAATTAAACTTCAGTTCCTATCTACTACACATACTCAGTTTTGTTTAAAATCTACCAAAAGGTTTCGTCGTGTTGGATTTCAAGTGACGCCTTGAGGTTGGGGAGAGGCACAACCGTCATTATGGCTTATACAGGTGCAGGAAGTGATTATAAACACTGCAACAACACACATCACCATGTGATGTCAAACAATGCTCCATTATCTCTTCTTAAGCTAAGAGGTTCCTAAATACACTGGAATAATCACTTGGTGCTTTGCAAAGGATTTGAGCAATGGGAAACAAATTGTTTTGTTGGAAGAATAAAGGTCTGTTAAGCTGTGCACCTAAAATACTTTGAGTTGTCATTTGTTGTGAATGGGCATTATATAAAGAAATCACATTGATTAGGACGTTTCATGGTTTTACGGTTATTAATTTAACTCTGAGTGACTTTAAAAACATCTGCTGAGAGATTACAGTGAACTTTATTTTTGTGGAAATTTCTGGTAGAAAAACAATAACACAAATGAATCTTTTTAGTTTTCTACTGAAAAGCAGAGCTCAGGTGTGTGGGCTCTTATCAGCCAATAGGAAGGCTTCTTGGTGGCGGACAATTCAGGTTTTTGCTCCGTGTAAAAACACCAGGCTGCTGTCAGACGTTATCTGTTGATACCGTGATCTCACTCCATGAGTCAACCTGAGTGTGTTGGCACATTAAACAGCACAGATCATTACCTCCGGTGTTCTGTAAAAGGAAAAGCATGTTGACCACATGTAGGTGAGGGTACAACCGCACGCACTCCGAGAGATACGCACCTCCGTATTTAGCTGCGTCGCTATCGGGGCATGAAGCCAGAATAGAGCGGCTAGCTTAAAAATGATTGAGCTGTATTGTTTCAGAGAGGATGTGATGGTAGGAAACAAATGTGTTCAAGTTTTTATGCCTGAACAGTTGGGAAGCACATCAATACCAATAATCTACCAAAAGATTTACACTTTTTAGGTGAATTAAAGCTCCAACCTGTTGGTATCAATTGATTTATGAACTGAAAAATGGAGGATTATGTTTCTTCATCATTAAAAAAAAAAAATCAAATATTTTACTGCTGTTTTATGTAACAAGCTTTCAAAAAAACTCACACTCATTTTTATTTCATTTAAGAAAACATTATTTATGTTTATGAAAGATAATGTGGCATTGCATGTAAATCTAAAGATCTTTCAGATATCTTGTAAATTATTTAAAAACGACAATGTGTTGTTAGTCATTTTGATAAATCTTTTAAGTATATTAAATCAAAACTCTCTTTGAAAATTAGCTGCATTTCCATAATATTTTCTGTGCTTTTCCACAAAATAATTTTAATCGATATATAAGCCTTACGTAAGATTTTTGGGGCTTTAAAAACTGTCGTATATCTTGAATCAAGTGAGAAATCCTTTTATAGTCTCAATAAACCTTTGGAGCGTACTTGGGAAGAAGTTTATCTTATTCTTTTATTGTCTATATTCAATAACGGTAGCTGAATCTTTTCGGTTTAATGTTTAAACATTACGATACATTTCCTTAACTTGTTTCCGACAGCTGTATGTTCAAACTGAACCTTGTATTGTTTTGGCATGACAGTTTTATAGATTAGTACTACTTCAATGTGCTTTATTGGTAAATCCAGTAAATTGTATTAAACATTATTTAGGGTTTCTGGTCACTAAATTTATATATATATATATATATATAATTTTAAAAATAATATACATTTTAAGATTAAAAAATATGTAAATAAATATTAAATGAAAAATTATTTTTAAAATAAATTTAAATAAAAATTTCTATAAAAAGATTAAATATATATTAAAAAAATTCCAAATAAACAAAAAAATAAGATTTTTGTAAGATGTAAAAATGTGTACATTTGTATTTTTTTTTTTTATTTATTTATTTTTTTTCCGCAAGGAAATCTTAAAAACAAAAACTACTCTTAATGTCTGCCTCTCTCTGGTGCTCAGCATCTTTTCCTTTCAGGCCTGACGAAGAGCTGACTAAACTAAAATAGAAATATTCATGAAGCTGTGCATTAAATATCTGTCTTGATGCTAAATGCCAGTGCTTTAACAGACGGATGAGGCCATTAATGTTGCATTTTTCTCGTCTGTACCAAGCGAGAGCGGTTACTGGCCGGATGAAGGCAGATAACCGTCCATCTAGAATAGCTCCAACCTCTCATTATGACAAGGAGAGCATTACATTTAGCTCTCCTCTATGCCTCTCACTGGCACACAGCAATTTCTCCTCCAAAGTGGAGTTTCATAAATGATATGACGATAAGGAAGAGGGGAAGGAGGAGGATATGTTTCCTGTAGCGGTCGGAAACCCCGTCCCCCTCATTCCTCGAACCATGTGATGTGCATTCGATTGAAGTCATTTATTCATTAGCCCGATCACATCTAATCTGAATTTTTCCATTCAGGAGACAAAAGGATTTTGATCATTGCCAGTCCTTAACAGAGTTGCTGGGTGAAAGGTCACCGATGTGCATTCCCCTCACAAACGGTTCTGTTTGGACAGCTACAGATGCAGGACCAAATGGCAGCGAATGTCCACCGTACTCCAAACTGAGGTGGGAGTAAACGTAACCTGTGAGGACGTCCCGGTCCGGCTCGGGCGTATCGTCAGAGAAGTGCCTTGTGACATGTGTTTAGCGGTGTTAAATGGCAGATATGTTAAGTGGCTCGTTATGCAAGGCTAAGACCGGCAGTCGGTTTGAGGAACTTGTTGAAAAGTGCATGACACGCAGGCGACTTGTTTTCAAACGCAAAGCTGTAGCTGTTTTTACTTTACTTACTTCAGCACCAAAGAGTGTTTCTTGGTGTAAAATGTCTCCAGAATGTTGTTGCTCGTCCGCTTCCTTGCGAATGACCTACTGATTTCCTATTTTACAGTGAAGTCTTTGTCAAACCGTGTCTTTTGACACACATACAAGCTAGAAATACAGGTCGGTCCAATTCGTTCTGTCCTTTTGTCATTGTTGGGAAGTGGCTGAACAGACTGGATCCTTCTGTTGTTGAGCTTTAATGAAGGCGAGGCTTTCAAGCTTTACTGCATTTGTTTTTTTTAAATCAAGTGTTTATTGAAGATTCAAAGGAAATTAAACTAAAATACTCTGCTGTTTTACTATGAGCAGAATGTTAAAGTTATGTACAAATTATAATCTTTTAAG